TGATGCTCAGGTTGCCAAGGGACTTTATGGCACCCATTCGGGTTGTACAACGTGGTCAAGGGTGTCCTTGTGCAGCTCCATGTTTAGTGGTGGAGCTTGTTCTCCAACCTGGGAGAGCATCAGGAGAAGCCAAATAAAGAGCTGGTCACATAAAGCGCTACCCCTTCCCCAAACCCTCCTTCTCAGCAGCGTTTAACCCCATCCCAATTCTCCCTCGGGATGCTTAACCTCCTCCTAACGCATAAATCGGAGAACGCGGATTGCAGGGCAGAACTTTCCTGCTTCCACTTGTCTTTAAATTATTTAATTTAAATTATTTAACAAGCTGGTAAAGCGCTGCCGGGGCCTACCCCTTCCCTAAACCCTCCTTCTCAGCAGCATTTAACCCCATCCCAATTCTGCCTCGGGATGCTTAACCTCCTCCTAATGCATAAATCGGAGAACGTGGATTGCAGGGCAGAACTTTCCTGCTTCCACTTGTCTTTAAATTATTTAATTTAAATTATTTAACAAGCTGCTTAAGAGGCCCGGCCATTTTGCGCGGCATTTGTCAAGGCTCCATCAGCTCGGCGCTGCGCGATGTGACAGCCCTCCTTTTATTATGAGCAGCGTATTAATCTTGGAATGGCGCTATTTGTTTTCCTCTCCTGCTTTTATGGTGCTTAAAAGCATGTATCTTCTCCTGAAAATCAATAACTAAAGCTATGAATAATAAAAAACACTGCAGTGAATGGCTCATAGGGATCCTATGGATGCAAGTTGCAGCAGTAATGACTCTGTTTGCTATCCATTAAGTATGTGAACTCAGGAGAATTATGCAGATTATAATAGCTGTATCAACATAAGTATGTTGTGCTGATAGACTTTCCTGATTGGATCCACGGGATATAAGCCTGCTAATCCCTTGTGCAGAGGACCTTGATTATATTAGAGTGCTTTGCAGATCTGCAGATAGAAAGTTAAGAAACAATTAAAAAAAAAAAAAACGCTGGCTGTTGTGTGGGGTTTTTATTTCTTTCCTTCCACGAGGGCTCCGGTTGCTGCTGTGTTTGTGGTGCTCTTGAAGCCGAGGTGTGTTTTGTGCTTCTTTGCAGCAGCAAAATGAGCTCCGAAAAATCCAGGCCCTCACGGTTGACGTGCAAGAAATGAAATTTAACCCTTGTGTGGGTTTAAATGCCTCGGTCTGTAGCTGTGTGGCACCCTCTTTTTTGCTCCCCTTCTCTCCCACCTCTCCTCTGTTGGGTGACGTGAGCGATGGAGCTGTTGGGTGGAAAAAACCAGCTTTTGGCATCACGGCACAGAGAGCTCTCGCTGTGCTCCGTGCTCGACACGGTGTTTGTTGTCACGCGGTTTCGCCTGTAAAATATAGGACGTGGGATGTGCTTGTTAATGTCACCTTGCAGGTAGGTGGCACTGGAGTCTAAGTACCTGTTTTTGGAGCTTCAGCTCTCTCGGATTTGGGGAAACTGAGGCGCTGCTTGGGCTCTTGGTCCTGCCTTGCGCTAACCCATGGGGTTAAGTCCCAACCTTGCGATGAGCTCGGTGGCTTCCTCGATCCTTTCCCATTTTATGGGAAGGTTCTGCTCGTTGCTGGGATGAGCGGGGATGAGTTGCTGCATGAGGGCTCAGCAGAACGATCCCTCTAGGCAGCCCAGATGTGCCTGGGATTTGAAACCTGCTCGATGCGTTTGGCACGAGATGAAAGTCCCTTTTGGCCAGGACGTCCCCCGGCGTCTCTGCTCGCTCCAGCTTGCTGCCATCCACCCTGCGAAGCTGCAGCTCTCGCTTCCTCTGCCCTAGCATCTCATTAGCAAATAGATTTGTTATTTTCGGGATAACGCCGCGAGTTAATGTGATGTGCGCATCGCCAACCGCCCCGAACGTGCTGCATGCAGAATCGGGCGAGTTGCAGTGATGAATGTCATGCAGAAATTCAAGGCACTAATTGAAGGTGGTTTCAACAGAATATTCAATTAATGTTCTCGGCGCTGCAGACAGTCTGCGAAAGGCGCCGTTGCCTCCTGAGGATCTGTGTTACTGTGCAACAAACAGATGAAAACGAACCGTTTTACGGCCTTCTAATTGAAAGTCGATGCACTGATTTTATTAAA